AGAGTCCTCTGCTAATCTTAGCCGGAGTTTTGTTCGCGAAACGGGAATCATTCCGGCGTCAGGGAAGGAGGATGTAAACGGTTTTGGCCAAAAAAGACTTGAATCGATAAACTTGAATCAAGGCCCTGGAATATCGCTTGTGGGGTTGGAAGCCAAGTTTAGCGGGTTGCATGGGAATGTGCCTAACGTGGAGCAATCTCCAAAATTTCAAAATGTGGCTGGGCGGGAATTAGCAGGGTTAGTTTTGGAAATTGAGGACCAAGTTATACCCGGTAATAATTTTTGCTCTCCTGATGGGCCTCAGTTGGGGGTCGTGGGCTCTGACTTGAGTATGTTAAATGCTAAAATGGGTTCTTCTTTAAGTGGGCTACAATTTGAGAGAGCCCATAGTCCCAAGACTGGTGATGTTGGGATGTCTACTGCTACTGTGGTAAGCGGGGACGTTCTGGGTATGCATGCCAAGACCAAGAGGAACTGGAAACGATTAGCTCGGGAAGGATGTGGTGATGGGGTGGTTAAGCACATTGCGGATCGTAAGCGTAAGGGGGCGATAACTTCATCAAGGCTAACAGTCGATGGCAGTGAGGTGGTAAAGAAGTTGAAATCAACTATCGATGTGGGGGTAGCAGTTGTTGAGCAACATGCAACGGCAGTGGCTGCGGTGCAGCCCCGCCGAGTCCAATGAGTTGTCTAAGTTGGAACTGCCATGGGCTTGGGAACCTGCGGACAGTTTGTGATCTTCAGCGGGTGCTGAAGACCAAAGATCCTAGTTTGGTTTTCCTTTCTAAAACTCTTGTGATTCGAAGCGTATTGAAGTGCTGCGGTGCAAGTTGGGTCTGACTGGAGCCTTTTCGGTAGATCGAGTTGGAAGATCAGGCGGGTTGGCATTATTATGGAAGGAGAATGTTCAGGTGTCAATTCAAAGTTACTCTTGTGGTCATATTGATGCAGTGGTGGACTTTGGAATTGGGCTGGTTCCGTGGCGATTAACTGGATTTTATGGCAATCCAGATGGCTCCCAGAGGGAGGCTTCTTGGCAGCTGATGCGTAGGTTGGAAAGTATGTTGGCTTTGCCATGGATGATTATTGAGGATTTTAATGAACTCTTATTTAGTCATGAGAAATGTGGAATGGGCCAGCGTAACCAACGTCAAATTGCTGCGTTTCGCAGCGCTGTCAATGATTGCGGATTGGTTGATTTGGGGTATGTTGGGGCAAAGTTCACATGGTGTAATCATCGGCAGGATGGGTTGGTGCGTGAAAGATTGGATCGTGGGCTGGCTACTGCTGCTTGGATGCGAGTTTTTCCAAATGCTATTGTGTTCCATCTTGTTTGTGCGACTTCAGATCATGTTCCATTATTGTTGGATGTTGAGGGTAATAAGCCGACTCCTTTTATCCAAGGCTGGAGGTCTTCGATTTATCGCTTTGAGGCCATGTGGCTTCGGGAGGAGGAGTGTGAGGCCATAGTTCGTAATAGTTGGTCATTGGAGGGGGATCCTATGGTGCGGGGATTACGTCGTAATTTAGCCAGTGTCTGGGCAGGGTTACTTTCATGGAGTCAAACTAAATTCGGGATGTCCGAAAGAGAGTTCGGAACAAGGTAAAGGAGTTACAGAAAATTGAAAATGTGGACATATGAACCGATAGTGCCTAATTGGCTCGGTCTACCTTACGGCGTCAGGTTGATGAACTCCTTGAGCGTGAGGAGGTGTTTTGGTTTCAGCGTGCTCGAACAAACTGGATACGGGATGGGGATCGTAATACGTCTTTTTTTCACGCTAAGGCTTCCCAGCGGCACAAGAAGAAGCGTATTTTGGGTTTGGAAGATGCTCACGGACAATGGTGTGTTAAGGATTCTAATTTGCGGAGCATTGCCGTAGATTATTTTCAGTAATTATTTACATCCCATGGGCAGAGGGGAATGGACGGAGTTCTTGAGGCAATCACATCTCGGGTTCCGCCTGCTGTGGGTTCACATTTAGATCGACAATTTTCTACTGATGAGTTATGGCAGGCTTTACATCAGATGCATCCTACCAAAGCTCCTGGTCCCGATGGGAAACATGCGCTTTTCTACCAGCGTTTTTGGCCGGTAGTGGGAGTTCATGTGACCCAAGTGGTTCTAGGCATCTTGAATGGATCTGATGACGTGGGGTTGATCAATGATACGTTTATAGTCCTCATTCCGAAGGTAAAAGAGGTGCGTCGGATGACGGAGTTTCGGCCAATTAGCCTATGTAATGTGATCTACAAAGTTGTGAGCAAAGTGTTGGCAAATCGATTGAAGATGGTGCTACCTTCTGTGATATCCCTAAATCAGAGTGCTTTTATTGGGGGCCGTTTGATTAGTGACAATGTTTTGGCGGCTTTTGAGATGTTTCATTTCATGAAAAATAAACGGCATGGCAAGGAGGGATGCTTTGCGCTCAAACTTGACATGAGCAAAGCCTATGACCGCGTTGAATGGGGGTTTCTTAAAGGGGTTATGGAGCACATGGGTATGCCATATCGATTTATCGATCTTATCATGAGATGTATTTCAACGGTGTCTTACTCCGTTTTGATTAATGGACAGCCGACCGTTGAGTTTTGTCCGACGAGGGGCCTTCGCCAAGGGGACCCGTTGTCGCCTTACTTGTTTGTGTTGTGTGCTGAGGGTTTGTCGGCATTAATTACAAGGGCAGAGACAAGTCATCGTCTTACTGGTATGGCCATTTGCCGAGGGAGACCTCGCATTTCTCATTTATTTTTCGCTGATGATAGTTTGCTCTTTGGAGTGGCCAAACCAGAGGAGATTTTAGTTACTCAGGGGTTATTGCTGGAGTATGAGGGGGGCATCTAGGCAAAAAATTAATCTTGACAAATCAGCCATCTTCTTCAGTGCTAATGTGGATGCTGGGCGTAAGGAGGCTTTGCGACAAATTTTAAATGTAGGCAGTATGGTTGAATCAGGTAAATACTTGGTTCTACCGTACCTTCTTGGTAGGTCCAAGAAAGAGGTGTTCAATTTTATCAAGGACAGAGTTTGGAAACGGATTAGTGGTTGGAAGGAAAAATATCTTTCGGTGGCGGGAAGAGAGGTTATGATAAAAGCTGTCATTCAATCCATCCTTACTTATGTTATGTCTTGTTTCCAGCTTCCAACAACTTTTTGTGCTGAGATTGATTCCATGGTGTGTCGTTATTGGTGGGGACAAAGTGGAAATAAGAGGAAAATTCATTGGACCTCATGGGAAGCTTTGTGTCACCCGAAATGGGAGGAAGGAATGGGCTTCCGCCGGTTGGCGGATTTTAACAGTGCTATGTTGGCCAAACAGGGATGGCGCCTTCTCAAGTCCCATGACTCTTTATTTGCTCGGTTGATGCAGGCCAAGTATTATCCGAACTCGACATTTTTGGAGGCTGAGTTGGGGTGCAATCCCTCTTTCACATGGCGGAGTATTTTTAACTCTCGCCCTCTTTTGATGGCTGGGTTATGGTGGCGAATTGGCGATGGGCACACTGTTAAAATTTGGGGTGATAGGTGGTTGCCTAGGGGTTATTCTTTTCTTCCCATTTCTCCTCCTTCTCTTCCTAATGTTACCAGGGTGAGCTTTTTGATAGATTCAGACCGAAAGTGTTGGGACTTGGGAAAGCTACAGACCTATTTCCTCGCTGCTGATGTGGAAGTGATTCGGAAAATTCTTATTAGCCCTTACCTGCCTTCTGACATATTGATTTGGCATTATACTCGAGATGGGAGATTTTCGGTTCGGTCGGCTTATCATTTACAAATGACTCGGTCTAGGATTGGGACATATCCGGAATCGTCCAATATAGGAGAAGCCAAACGGCGTTTTTGGAAAGGGGTTTGGCATTTAAAAATTCCGAATAAGATCAAGGCCTTTGCATGGAAGGCATGTTTGAATATTATCCCCACCTGGGACCGGTCATGGCAACGTCGCGTGCCTGTTGAACTTGGGTGCGACTGCTGCGATGCAGCTGTGGAGACTTTAGTGCACTGTGTTAAGGAATGTGAAGTGGAGCAACAGGTTTGGGCTGCTAGTCCTTTGGCTTTCGTTATCGATGTTGGGGTGGGCTATGATTTTTATCAGTGGGTGCTTGAGATTGAGAAACAAGTTGATGCAGCAGGATTGGGGTTGTTCTTTGCGCTGTGTTGGGGGTTATGGATTGCTTGTAACCAAGCTATATTTAATAATATTAAGCGGGTTGCGCCGGTGATTGTCCAGCGAGTGTGTGCCTATCTACAAGAATTTTGTCAAGTGAGAGCCCTCGTTCAAGGGCTTCGGGTCTGTCCTAATCCATCACGATGGAGGCCACCGTCAATGGGTGTAGTCAAGATTAATTTCGATGCGGCAACCTTTGTTGATCTGGAGGCCATTGGGGTGGGTGTGATTGTTCGGGAGGCTCATGGAAAAGTTATTGCAGCCATGTCGGAGAGACTTCCACATTGGGTTGATGCGGATTGTGCTGAAGCTCTAGCCGCAGCAAGCGCGATTGCATTTGGGGCAGAATTGGGCCTGAGCCATATTCATTTAGAAGGGGACTCGTTATCTGTTATTAAAGCCTTCCGCTGTGAGGATCAAGTGCTGTCCTGTTTTGGCCATATTATCCAAGGTGCTGTGTGTACAAGCTGCTGCTTCACCAGTTTTTGTTGTTCACATGTGTTGCGTGGTGGGAACAAAGTTGCCCATGGGCTGGCTCGTCTGGCGGGACATGTGCTCGGCAAACGAATTTGGCAGAATGAGGTGCCACCGCATTATGCAGGCTAATTAGTGATGAGGCTGTTTTAGCTTCTTAAATTGTATTGGCCTTTCTAAAAAAAAAAAATACACTTCTCACTTCCATTCTATTGATTTGCATTTATTTTTCTCATTTATCATTTATTTATTTTTTTCTTCTTCTCAAAATTGGGTTTGAGTTATAAATTTAAATAAAAATAATCTCTCTGCAAATTTCAAAGAAACATATAGACAAGCGCATATGAACACACAAAGTTTAATCAATTCACTCCAGTTACTTTATAATCAATTCACTCCAGTTACTTCATATAAATAAAATAAAATAAAAATCCCATCAAAATAAATATAACAATATCATAGACGACGCATAGCAAAGATCAATGTTCAGAACCGTGAACAGCATTTACTCTTCAGACTCCTGCTCGTATTGCTGGAGCAGTTGCTTGCACCCGGACATGCGCTGATCCCTCATAAAGCCCATTGCATTGGCGAAACGGTTGTTTGAAGCAATCCCATTGTTTCGGGTAAGTATCACACGAGCACGGTCACGCCCTGGATCTGCCGTTGCACAGTCTCTCTGTGGGCTGCTAACTAGCATGGCATCACAGAGCTGGTTGCCATGGTCCTCTTTGATCATGATCTTGTACTTTCCTGTTGAGTCTGTTGTTCCATCAATGCTGTATAAGAGTTTGTGTGTGTCCCTGTCTTTGCATTCGATTTTAACCTTGGCACCTATTTCACAGACGTAACTAGAATCATAAATAACTACCCATGGCTTCTGAGAATACATTGACAGCAATGACTAATTCTCATGACAAATAGGCTTTCCTTTGTTCTCATAAAAACCTATGGGTTCACAAAATGTTTCAATCATATTATTGCTTTTCTAATCAGAACATCTGAAAATCATATATATGCAAGCACCCTAGTCCTTACCCTGCATAATCTCTACCTCCATTGTTTTATTATCAATTTCTCTCTCAATAAAGAATTTGGTGATAAAGTTAAAAGGACTCAATGACACAATTTCAATTATTTTGTAGTCAAATCTAAATACGTTAGTTCACTAGATAATTTTATACCAATTCTTGTAAGGAGAAAAATATAAAAGTTCACTTCTTAAACACATTTTATAGAACGTGTGATGTGTTAAAAAGGTAATTAGTTGATAAATAGAAAATATTTAATTATCACTTAATTTTTTTTTAACACATCACTTGAGTCTAGAAAGTAAGTCTAACTTTTGAACCTGAATAACAATGCTCTTTTTGTAATTTTTTGAGTTGGTTACCTCACTCATCACACTAGAATAATGCCTAACCGAAAAAGAGAAACACAATAAGTATAGGCCTACACAATCAGGTAACCTGCTTTTTTTAATTATCAACTTCTAACTAATAATAAGTTAAACCAAAGAACAAAAACATATCAGCGAATGAAGTGTAATTACTGTATTAGACAAATTGTTTGAACGAGCAGGATGATGACAGATTATAATAGAATACATTAGTAGTCCTAAATAAATAGGACTTGGGTTATTTAGTTAGAAATGATGTATATCTAACTATTAATTTAACCTCTAATTTTCTAAGCAAACGATGAATAATAAATTTATTAAATATGAAATTCAATCTAACACCTCAATCACATGAAAAAAACAACCCCCCCCTCACGGTACCTGTCAATTAGGCCAGTTAGGCCACCGGACTTTTAATAATGTTATTTTAATCAAACACTTTTACTAAAAAAAAGAAAAAAAAACCTATGTAGGCCTAAAAATAAAGCTGATTTGAGTTCATATGTTTAAATCATAATTAAAAATAAAAATAATAAAAAAAAAGTGAAGCCTCATATACTTGTTTGTTTGTTCTTGTTTTTGTTTTTGTGTTTGTTTTTATTTTTATTTTTTTTTATCTCCTATATTTGTACTGGGATCAAATAAAAAAATATTTGTACCTGTGCTAGAATGTTCTAAATAAAAAAGTATATTAGAAAAACATCATCGTAAAATATTACTGTAATTAATTAGTACTTTGGCATTTTGAAAATTAAGAAAAATCAAAATTAAATAAAAAATTTATTACTATTTAAAAATTTAAACAAACAGTAGTTAGTAATTGGGATGCCCCTTTAAACATACACATATATGCATGAATTTGTACTAGGATCAATGATGAATGTATACAGATTTGGTAGTGATATATATACGAATTGATATATTAATGAATGTATTAATATATATTATGGACTATTTTGAAAAGATGATTAAAAGTCATCTTCCAATTTTTACCTATTTTGAGTTATATCATCTCTCACAACTTTCACACGTTTTTTTAGAAAAAATAAAATCAAAAAATCAACTTTTAACCATATTCCCAAAACAATTCATATTATTGCTGGCCTCACCCATTTTATAATAATTGATATACTAATTGATGCATATAGTATTATTAATGTAGATTAGGAGTGGACATTTGTTTGGCCGGACCGGGTTTGGGTTGGTCTGATACTACATAATAAGATATTTTATGTTTGTCAAAGTCTAGCCCGGTCCTAACATCGGGCCTCTATATTTGCCCAAATTCAGTCCAAAAAATAATTATAAATCCCAAGTCCACCCATCATGCTATATGTCAATTTTTTTTTCAAAACATTCCATAATTAAATTTAATTATAAATTATATTTTTTACATATATATATTAATAATATTATAAATTAAAGAATTTTGCATATAAATTAAAAATTTTCTTAAATAAATTCAATCAAATATCACCACAAACGTGGAATTCAATAAATTAATAAAAATAAAATTTAGATCTTAACAAATATATATATATTAATATATTATAATTAATTAATGTAATAATGACGGAGCTAGAATAGATTAAAAATATAAATTTCAAGTCCAATTCATTAATCTATATATATATATATATACAGAGAGAGAGAGAGAGAGAGAGAGAGAGGAGGCGAAAGAGTAAAGTGAAAGTAAAAAAGTGTGAATTGTGTGTGGACTGTGGAGGAAAGAAAATGGAGGAGAAAAGAGATGTTGGTGAGGGAGGGTTGAATTTGGTGCGCTCAGCACGCGTCCAGCTTAGCTTTTTGGAAGTTGCATCATTCCAATCAGGAGTCACCGCGTTAATCAAGGGTCAACGAAAGGAGTGCTTTGTTTGGAAAGAGTTAAGGCAATTGTAGATAACGTAAAGACATACCTAAAGATTTCAAAAAAATTTATTAAAATTTTTATTTATGTCATATGAATATATGAATGGTCCAGCTTGCAGCTGGTCTCAATCAAGATTGGACCCGTTCAGTTTGGTTTATAGAGTTTATGTTTTGGGTCCGTTTTGATAATTTGAACCGTTAATATGTAGAATTCGTTGAGTACTACATGTCTGTAAAAAATCACGTTGATCGGATATCAATAGTTATGTGATCAAAATAGTTTTGTATAAAAAAAATAGACGGTGAAAAAATTAACAGTTGATAAAAAACTGTATTGTTCACATAGCTATTGATATCCAATCAACGTGATTTTTTACAGACATATAGTACTCGACGATTTCTACACATTGAATAGTTCAGATTATCAAAACGAGACCCGTGATAGACCTCCATGAGCCCAATAACACAATCTAATTCAATCTTAAACTGGAACAAAGCGACTGCCAATATGAACATACACGATGAGTCTTATATGAATTCTATGTGAGATATTTATTATAATTTTTATTTTTTTTCACTTTAAATAAATATGACAACTGTAGAGGAGCTAATATGAGTACAGCTGCCATGGCAATGTCGGAGGAGGTTTCATTGGGATTTGAAAAGGTTGCGTAAAGTGACAACTGTAAGGATCGGATTGGATGTGCTCCATTCTACCGCTCTGGTTCAGTGCGTATTTTCTGAACATCGCGTATTTGGTTAATTTTTTGTTTTAAAATTGTTATTCAAAATTAAAATTTTAATTTAATTTTTAAGTTTAATAATGCAGTAGTTAATTAAAATATTAAAAATAATACTCTTTTATATTTTTTTTAATTATCAACCAATCATTTTATTTAAATATTTTGAGTTTAAAAAGTAAGTTTATATATTATTTTTTTTATAAATAGAATATTCTTGATCAATTTACACCATATTAATGATTAAATTTTTTTTACACTTGTTTCACCTTCCTAAGTGTCTATGATCCTGTATGTTTGTCTGACGGATTAGGTTAGATAAGATTATTATTGAAATGATAGTTAGTAAATAAATTATTAATGCGAGGATTGTTAATGAGAAAATTAAGTAAAAGTATTTGTTTTGATGATAGTGTAATAGATGGTTAGTGATGAAATTGTTAAATTATTTTTATATATAAAAAAATATTTCTATATTAACAAAAAACTAAAACCAATATTAAAATAAATAGGTGCACTTGATAAAAAATATAAAATTAAAAAAATAATTTTTTTTATATAAAATAAACACAATCAATTCAGTGTTTTTCTAATCTTACTTAAAATTTAGCCAAGCTAATTTTTCTCCTAAGGGAGATTACTAAGCCCATCACATTATTAATCCCTCCTCGTAAATCATCACCAAACAAGATGTAGAGGGGACCCACACCTATACTAATCTAATCCAATCCCCTACCTTGCTAAACAAACATGACCTAAGGCCGTGTTTGTTTTTAGAGGTAGAATGGAAGAGATTGATAGTGAGGGGACTAAGTAAAATTGTGTTTGTTTTGATGATAGTTGTTAGTATAGAGATTGTTAAATTATTTTTATATAAAATAATAAAACAAATAAAAAAAATACAAAAACATTAAACATTAATGTTTAAAAAAAATGCCCAACATGTAAAAAATTCTAAAAAAATAAAAAAAAATAAAAAAATTTCAAAAAAAAAAATAAAACACATAAAATAATGATTTTTACTTAACCAAAAATACAAAAAATTAAACATTAATGTTCAAAAAAAAAAAAATACCCGGCATGTTAAAAATAAAAATAAATAAATAAAAATAAAAAATTTCTAGTCCGCCGGACTATTTTTCTAATACCAAGTCCTGGAGGCCTATCCAAATCCCTTTGGGGAGGCCTATCCTAATCCGAAACTCACTATTAATCCCCTCTCCATCTCTCAAAACAAACACAATATTAGTGAGTCCCACCTTACTATCAATCCCAATCCCCCCTTTAACTCTCCAAACAAACGGGGCCTAAGAGTTTTTGTATACTAACAAGGGAGTAAAACATAAAACTTTAAAGGCCCCGTTTGTTTGGGGTTATAGGAAGGGGATTGGGACTACTAATACCTTGGTATTACTAATATCTTGTTGTTTTGAGAGATGGCCTTGAGATTACTAATACCTTGGTATTACTAATACCCTTGGAAAGGGGATTCATAGTGAGGAGGTAGATGTGGTATTAGAAAAATAGTGAGGGGATTAGAAATTTTTTTATTTTTTATATATTGGGAACTTTTTTTAAATATTAATGTTTAATTTTTATATTTTTATATTTATTTTATTATTTTATATAAAAATAATTTAACAATTTCTTACTATCAATCTCCTCACTATTAATCCCTTCCATTCTATTTCTGAATACAAACGGGACCAAAAGTGCAAATCCTCAAATCCCAGCCTTATTAACCTGGCAAAACCTTGAGGCTAGCGTTGGTTAAGTGATGGCAAAAAAATGTCTTTCTAAAGTATTATTTAGGGATTGTTTGGGATGACCTAAATAAGTGTACTTTTTATCTTTTTATAAAAAGATGTGTAAAAAAATAAAGAGGTGATGCGATGAAAAAAAGATAAAAAGATGAATTATTTTGATATTACCAAACTTGACCTTAGTGCAGTACAACTATCAAATTTTGTTTCGTTTGAATTGAATGAATATCTTACATAAGATATTCATTTGGCTAATTTGGGCAGAGTAAAATTTGGCGATTCAAACATTATTTTATTTGGCATTTTCTAAATAAATGTATATATTTGGATCACATCATATTTTTATTTTTTTGAATATCTTTTCATAAAAAGTTAAAAATTACACTTATTTATATCATTCTAAACAATCTCTAAATATTGAAATTTAAAATATATTTTAATAGTAATAAAATTGTGTAAAAAAATTAATTAACAAAAAATATATTATGTTTCTTTTATTGTCTTAATGATACCTGTTAGCAGATCATTTAAAAAAAAAAAATGGCCACTACATCTTGAATACCATCGTTTCACTTTTTATATTTTTACACTAGGTTTTGCTATAAAAATAAAAATAAAAATAAAATAAAAATCCAAAAAGGATAACAATAGAAAAATTTTATTCATATATAAAATTTATACAAAAAATTTAATAAGAATAATATGGTAATACTATCGTTATAAATAAATACATCTTCAATAATAATTTATCATAAAATGAAATGTTTATATTAAATCAAATTATTATGTATAAATTTTTTATTTATAACATTATTCTAATAAATATATAGCTTTTCACATTTCGCACTTTAAAGTCCAAAATTCCAGGCGAATATGAACTGTTTTAGCGCCGCTGATTGATTTGTAAAATGAAAGATCTCTGAATGGATCACCCTGGGTCCAGGGGCATCAGTCATTGCCACTCATTCCGGTCCAATAGCAACAATTTGCGCCATTGATTGGTTTGTGAAAAGGGCAATTACTATTCAACTCTTAAAATTTAGGATAAATTATAAATATATTTTTTGAGATTTAATTAAAATATAAATTGTCTCTATAGTTTTAAAAATTACATTCTATTCTTTGAGATTTTTAATTTCATAACAAATCTTCCATTTTATTAATAAATTATCAAGTCAATTAACAGTTTTTAATGATGTTAGAAATATATTTCAATTAATAATTTAGGTAATTTTAATTTTATATAGGAGAGCAATTATAATTTTTTTTAGTTAATTTTGTTAAATAAAAAATTCTAATAAGGAGGTATTTGTAATTTTTCAAACCACAGGAGACAATCTGTATTTTAACCAAACCTCAGAGGATGTATTTGTAATTTATCCTAAGAGTTACTATAAATTCATCCTTTTTCAATTCATAAATTATTGAAAAATTATTTTCTATCACATTTTACATAAATTTCACACTACATAAATTAATTTTCACTATACAATCACTCCCCCAAAACAATTTGAGTGGATAAGTCTGAGTTAGCAAACTTTTCAAAAAATTAGACTCAATTTTTAAGCCCAATAATATATGAAATAATGTAGTAATCAATTAGGATATCTAAGTCAATACTCTCTCATATCTCCAATCATCAACCGATCATATAACTTATATATCATTAGGTCTAGAAAATATGTCTAAAATGTGAACTTGTACATCATTTTTCTTATGGAAATGGTGAAAAAAAAAATTTAGAATTTAGTTTATTAGAGATTTTTGAGGGTCCCGTGGGACTCACCATTCGTCCCGTTTCAATTATTTGAACTATTTTATTTTGTAAAACTCTTAATATATATTTTTCATAAAAAAAAATTAACTCGATCTGATTATTGTAATATTTTCATTTTATTACATTTATCATTAAAAAAATAGATGGTCTATTTTCATAAATATATTTGTTGTTTATTTTTTCAAATACAAATGTAATAAAATAAAAAGATTGTGATTATTAAATCGAATTAATTTTTTTATAGATGATATATATTGAGGATTTACAAAATAAACGATTTAAATAATTGAAACGATTTAAATATTTGAAATGGCCCAACTTAATTAGAGATGAGTAATTTTGAATTATGTAAATAGTCATGTATATGCCTGTGTAATTGGCTTTGGATTTCAAATACTATATATTATTTTATTTCCACCGAACAAACACTAGAGGAAAATAAGTTTTGCAAAACCATCCCACTTAAAAATAAAATAAAAATATTTATATATTTTAAAAGGTAAAATAGTTAAGATCACTAAAACATGACTCTATCTCCAATGACGTAGATTGTTCCATGTTAGTTATTAATTTATCTAAAATTAATCAATTAAAATTTAACCACTGTTATGACCATTTGAGTAAATTGAAGAATAATATTTTAAATATCTCCAACATTTTTCTTTTTTGAAAAATATTTTAACACACCATGTCATCTCATCCTAAGGACTGGGGAAATTATATTTCTACACATCTGATTAGCTCAAGGTACATACTTAATGAATTATTAATTTAATGATGATTATATTCTAAGTAAAATAACCATAATAGACATCCAGTAATACCCATAATATTATATAGAAAAATTCTCTGTATATATCTTCTAAGAACAAAAAAAATCTCAATATACACATTTTAAATTAAAAAATTTAAATTCTAATTTTTTCATTGTTGTCAGTTAACCACTAGAACATAGTGACCATTAGAAGCAACTTGATGGGAAATTTGGATCTAAATACGATCCACTTAGGATCTAAAAAATTTACAGTAACACAAGCAAAGAAAAAAAAAAATTCAGTCAATTTTTGCTCGCAAATTCATTGTCTAGTAGCTTGAACATAAATTACTTGAGTAGAAAACAAAAACTCCCTTTCCCATTTAATTGTAAAAACATCAAAACTATTTGATGATACAGTTTGTGATAGTTGGATGGGTCGAACTGATCCACGCTCCTCAAGCATATGTCTGAATTACCAAGCCCACCGGAAGACCTGCACAAGAGTTCAACGGGGAACGGGGAGTCCCCCAGCGAACCCTCCGACGAGCAAGTTAGAGAGAAAAGTGGAGAACGTAGATAGATTAGAGATAGAAAAGCTTAACCTTCTACATGTCTTCGACGCTTGCTTATATCCTTTGGTAATCATTACGTTGTCTCTTCCGACCTGTCACCTTGGCCGAAAGTCTATGCTGTAGCTTATCTTGTTCAGGGTGATGGCGTGTTGTCCTGACGGAGAGGGGTTATCGCAATAAATGTTGTGAGAGGGCCTCATTAATGGCGACGTGCAGTCGCAATAACTTTGCAGATCTTTGTCTGCTGATGTGGCTTGCCCTTTTCTTGCCATGTGTCTTGATGTCACTGGTTCTAATTGCTACATGGGGCTTCGATAGTGCTGGGCTTCAGCGTTTGAGATATGTGTTGGGCCCTAAATGGTGGGCTCTAATCTTTATGGGCTTACCCATGTCAGTAGTCTCTCATTCCCGAGTGCAGCTTTAGTCCAACGAATGAAATATTGAAGAGAATGAGGGCTGTGAAAGACCGGCAGGGTAAAGGCCGACCGAGCGGGGTGACCGACCACGAAGGGTGGCCGAGTGGAGGGACCGACCGTGCGGAAGGCCGACCGCGAAAGGTGGCCGAGTAGAAGGACTGACTGCTACAAGGCCTCGGGCCAGCAAGAAACTTGGGTCACTTTGCAAGCGGCGGTAGGAAGGGGTCTGGTGGTGGGGTTGCTGTCATCAATCAAGGGATGGAGGCCGCGATGGTTCTACATGTCCGCGAACGGGGGAGTGGGAGTGCACACGGTGTGGAGAGTGCCCACCAAGTCTGTGGAGCCAAAGCTGGGGGCCGCAGCGGGGGAGATGGTGAAAAAGGTGAAAGCATGGAGGGAGAAGGAGGGCGTCAAATGGGACGATCTCGTCCAGCCGTCCGCTTTGTTCGTCGCAGGACTGGGCCCTCAGCCTACTGGTGGAGATCTGGCACCGGCAGAACCAGAGGCTAGAAGGGAGGCGCAAGAGGTGGAGGATCGGATCATTTTTGCCAAAGCCCAAAAGTTCAAAGAAACGCAGTTAGGCCCGCCACCAAAACCGGTCGCGAGGGAAAGAATCCAACCGCGCCCCAAACTGCTGGGGGAAAAAGACTTGGGCAGTTTTGAGCCGCGACCGCCCCCAGTTGATCCAGTGAAGGAGAGGGCAAACAAGGAGGGAGAGGCTCTGAAGAAGAAGAAGAAGAAGAAGAAGAAGAAGGGGAGGGTTGCCCCTGAGGGGGCCTCAGATGCGCCTGGGTCGAAGAGGATGAGGGTTAACGGAGAGGTTACCCCCATGACGGAGGAGGCATGGGAGAAGGGAGTGGGGGTGACCTCAGAAAGGGTGGTTGCCCCAGAAGTGCAAGGGAACGAAGGTCAGGGAGGCCAGGAGGAAGAAGAGCATCTGAGTGCCAGGACCAAGGCGCTAGTGGAGAGTGGGCCAGCTGACCCTAAGAAAGTGATGGAGCAGCAGCAAAAGGGGGGCCCTGCACCACATGAAAGGGGGGTCAGGGTGAAGTATGCGATTTACCATGCTCCTACAGTGTCTGGCCCAGCCAGGACAGCTGCAGATCTTCTTCTGGGGTAGTGGACGAGGCAGCTGTGTGCTCCGCGACCAAGTTCAATGAGGCTGAGCTGCTAAGAGGGCTGTGCTCTGCCCATATGGAGGCGACCACCTTAGCAGGGGCTCTGTTGAGGAAGGCGGCGACGGCAAAAGGTGAAGTGAAACTATTGAAGGCGAAGTTGGAGGAGGCGAAGGCCCAACTTGAAAATTTCAAGGAGAGCACAGGCTGGAGGAAAGCTGCGCGAAGTGCGTGTGCCAGGGGGTTGGAAAAGGCTGAGAAGGCGAAGAAGATGGAGGTGTTGACGATTGTGCAGCGCAATGTTGCCGCTCGAGCCCATGCTGAGCTGCTCGCGGTCAAGTTGGAGTTGGAGGACGAACGCCGCAAGGTAGTGTTGCTCGAGTTCCAACTGGCTGGCAAGCAGAAGAAGCTGAGGGATGCTCAAAATGTCTACACGGTCGCCACCGAGTAGTTTAAAGAGGCGATGACCAGTAATGAAGAACTGCGCGCCCAGCAGATCAAAGAAAAGGACGAAGCAGACCTGAAGATTGTTGGGCTGCACAAGGAGCTGGAAGATGAGCGTGCTAGGGCAATGGAGGAGAAGGTGAGATTGGAGAAGGAGTTGGAGGAAGAAAAAATCAAGGCAACCTCTGAAAGGCTAGCATACCCCGATCTGTGCGTCGCAACAGTAGAGCAGTTTAAAGTGTCTGCAGACTTTTAGATGGCCATCGATGCTGCTATTGCCAGCAACTTGGCGAGAAAGGGGGCTGGGGGGGCTGGTCCGTCGGCGACGACCGCTGGGAGCAGAAGCGAAGACGAAGTGATCCAGAGCTTCCAGTGGTCGGATTTCTACAAACACGAAATGGCTAAATTCTGGGACAGTGGCTGGAAGATGTTTAAGCGTAAAGCAGAAAAGCTGTTCCCAGACGTAGACTTTAGCAGTGTTAGAATTGACGAAGACGACATGGCCCAGACCCTCCTAGATGAAGGCATTGAAGAGGAAGATCTCGCCTCAAGCGAAGAAGAAGAGTGAGTGGAGTGGAGAAAATATGTACTTAGAGCTTTTTTTTTTTTTTTTTTTGAATGGTTGTAATAAACTTATGTACAAGATTGTGAATAAATAAAATTTTGAGTCTTGTTTTCATGTTGTTGCTTTTGTTTGTGCATCTGAAATGAATGAGAATGGTGACTTGTATAAGGCTTATGTATAAATTATTGTGAAGCGCAAAATGTAAGGAAAACTCATTGTAAAGTGAGGTTTAAAACGTAAAGCAACCTCAATGCAGTGTGACTGGAAGGAAAACTCAATGTAAAGTGGAGTTTAACTTGTAAGAAAAATTCAATGCAGAGTGAATGTGAGAAAAACTCAATGCAGAGTGAAGCTTAACTTGTAAGAGTGTTAAAGATGCGAAGTTTTTGAATCCCAAACCAGCAAAGAAAAGTCTGATTTGGAAAACGTTGGACTAGAATTTGACTAAGTATGACCATTATGCCTACGATCATGAAGTTGTAATGGTGGCTCAGTCTGGCTGAGGCTTTTAGTGACTCGGTCTGGCCGAGCTCTTCATGCTCGGTCTGGCCAAGCTCTTCGTGCTCAGTCTGGCTGAGGCTTTTTGTGGCTCGGTCTGGCCGAGCTCTTCATGCTCAGTCTGGCTGAGGCTTTTCGTGCTCAGTCTAGCTGAGGCTCTTAGTGACTTGGTCTGGCTGAGCTCTTCATGCTCAGTCTGGCTGAGGCTTTTCGTGCTCAGTCTGGTTGAGGCTTTTCGTGCTCAGTCTGGCTGAGGCTCTTAGTGACTCGGTCTGGCCGAGCTCTTCATGCTCAGTCTGCTTGAGACTTTTTGTGCTCAGTTTGGCTGAGGCTTTAAGTGGCTTGGTCTGGCCGAGCTCTTCATGCTCAGTCTGGCTGAGGCTTTTCGTGCTTATTCTGGCTGAGGCTCTTAGTGACTCGGTCTGGCCGAGCTTTTCATGCTCAGTCTGGCTGAGGCTTTTCGTGCTCAGTCTGACTGAGGCTCTTAGTGACTCGGTCTGGCCGAGCTTTTCATGCTCAGTCTGGCAGAGGCTTTTTGTGCTCAGTCTGGTTGAGGCTTTAAGTGGCTCGGTCTAGCCGAGTTCTTCATGCTCAATCTGGCTGAGGCTGTAATCAAAGCGTTGTTGGAATACCACAGATAACTGAAATACAAGCTTGCTGTCATACAAAGTGTAGCCCATTGGATCATAAATTTACACCATATGAGAGGAGAATGAGAACAATAAAGTGTGCAAATGGCCAAAAAGGAAATACAGTAAAAGATTGATACAAGAATTGGACTTTTATTGAAAATAACGCTTCAAGTGCTCGGAGTTCCATGGGTGGGGGAGATCTCGACCTTCCATGTCCTGAAGTCGGTAGGTGCCTGGACGAGGTTTGGCTTTAACAACGTAAGGTCCTTCCCACTTGGCTGCCAGTTTGCCCTCAATCGGATTTTTGGTGGCAAGAGTTACTTCTCGCAAAACAAGATCCCCCACGGCGAATTCCCTCGGTCTAACTTTGCGGTTGTAGTGTGTTCTCATTTTCTGTTGGTATGAGGCCCGTCTGATAGCGGTGGTTTCTCGGAGTTCTTCGATCAGATCTAGGTCTGCCCAACGCAGCTCTTCAGTTAGTTATGGATTTGGATGTAGAACCCTTGGGGTAGGTAGACCGATCTCCACTGGGATGACTGCCTCAGCACCGTATGTCAAGCGAAAGGGGGTCTCCCTCGTGGGAGTTCGGGCAGTAGTGCGGTAGGCCCAAAGTACATTCGGTAATTCCTCAGCCTAGAGTTTTTTAGCAGCTTCCAGTTTAGTTTTGATGATCTTCAGAAGAGAACGGTTGGTGACCTCAACTTGGCCATTGGCTTGGGGATGGCCTGGAGAGGAGAAGCATGGCTGGATTTGGAGCTCTACACAAAATTTCCTGAACTTGGCATTGTCAAATTGTTTACCGTTGTCGGAGACAATGGCTTGAGGAATGCCAAATCTGCAAACGACTGACTGCCAGATGAATCTGGTTGTGTTCCGCTCGGTAATTGTTGCAAGGGGTTTTGCTTCCACCCATTTAGTGAAGTAATCGATGGCGACAATGGCGAATTTGGTTTGGCCTTGGCCCATGGGCAATGGGCCGACCAGGTCGATTCCCCACTTGGCGAACGGGTAGGGATTGCAGAGTGTGATCAATTCTGTAGGAGGAGTATGAGGGATGTTGGCAAAGCGTTGGCACTTATCACATTTGAGCACGAAGTCTATCGCATCTTGATTAAGAGTGGGCCAAAAATAACCAGTACGAAGTATTTTGTGGGCTAGGGACCTGCCACCCGAATAATTTCCACATACACCCTCATGGATTTCTCTCATCACATAAGTCGCTTGAGCAGGATTGAGGCATCTGAGGTATGGGCGTGAAAAGCCCCTCTTGTACAAAAGACCATCGACAAAAATGTAATTGGACGACCGGACCCTGACTTTAGCGGCCTGCTGTTTGTCATCTGGTAGTTCCCCCGTTGTCAAAAATAAAAAGATATCAGATGCCTAGGGGATAGCTTCATTTTGGAGGAAGTGGACCGCCTGCTGGTCGGAGGAGATGGCAGGGTCGGTCAGGTATTCGAGACGGACACCGTGGCTAAGATCTGACTGGTCTGCAGAGGCTAATTGAGACATCTCATCTGCCTTGGAGTTTTCCGTCCGAGGGATGTGCTGGATTTGGAAAGTATTGAAGAGACGAGCAAGGGGGAGTGCAAGATCCCTATAAGCCAGCATTGTGTCGTCCTTGGCATCGAATTCCCCCGTAATTTGTCCGACAATAAGCTGGGAGTCACTGAACACTCGGATATGGCTGACACCAATGTCTCTGGCTAGATGGAGACCTGCGATCAATGCCTCATACTCGGCCTCATTATTGCTTGCATTGAACAGGAAGCGGAGAGCGCATTTGAAATAACCACTATCAGGGGCGGTGAGGATGAGACTAGCTCCACTGCCTTCTTTGCGAGATGATCCGTCGACGTTGAGAGTCCAAGAGTGGGGATCTTCTGGCTCGATAGGGGTTGGTGGGGGTGGAGGAGTTGTGGTTGGGGTGAGGTTAGTGAATTCCAGGATGAAGTTAGCAATAACCTGTCCCTTAATTGCTGTCCGAGGCCGGTAGGAGATATCAAACTAACTGAGCTCGACCGACCATTGCATAAGCCTGCCGGAGAGCTCTTGTTGTTGCATTATCTTCTTCAACGGTTGGTCAGTGAGGACAACTATGGAATGGGCTTAGAAGTAAGGGCGGAGTCATCTGGAGGCGGTGACCAAGGCCAAGGACATTTTTTCTAACAATGGGTAGTTCTGTTCCACCCCCCAAAGAGCCCGACTGATGTAGTAGACCGATCGCTGGACAGATCTGTCTTTCCTGACGAGTGCTGTACTGACTGCAGTGTGCGACATGGCTAAATAGAGAAAGAGGGGTTCGCCCATGATGGCTTGAGAAAGTAGGGGGGGTTAGCCATGCACTGTTTCAACTGTTGAAAGGCCTCTTCAAATTCTGCCGTCCACTCAAAAGTTTGTCGAAGGACTTTGAAGAAGGGGAGGCACTTATCCGTTGCTCGGGAAATGAAGCGGTTGAGGGCGGCCACTCGGCCAATAAGCCTCTGAACCTCCTTGACCGTTCTGGGTGATTGCATTTCGATTAAGGCCTTGATCTTTTCAGGGTTAGCCTCGATGCCCCGCTGGCTGACCATGAACCCTAAAAACTTCCTAGATCCTACGCCGAAGGCACATTTTTTCGGATTGAGCTTCATCTAGTACTTTCGTAGGGTGGCAAAGATTTCTCGCAGGTCGGCCAGATGATCGGTGGAGAGTTTGCTCTTGACCAACATGTCATCTCTGATGATGGAAGACGGCATTGACCAATCGTTGGTAAGTGGCCCCGGCATTCTTTAACCCAAATGGCATCACACGGTAATGGTAGGTGCCTCGGTCGGTGATGAAGGAGGTGTGCTCCTGGTTAGATGGGTGCATCAAGATTTGGTTG